ATATTTTAATTATGAATAATTGATTAAGTGGAAAGCTAAGGATGAAATAAGTGCATGCATTAGTAAATGAATGGTTTGAAATATTGTTGTCTGTTAAAGCCTTCTTTAAAATAAATGTGGTTTTTATGCGCTATGCATTTAAATAAAAGATGTGTTTACATTTTCTAAGACAGTTGGGCTGTCATTATTTGTGCGTACACATGGTCTGTGGCAGTTCCAAATTTGTTTGTAGAGAAAATTCAGGTAAGAAAATCCCAGATTTCTACCAAAGGGTTTATACACTCTGTTTATGCACAGATTTGTGCATATGCACTGTTATAGGGAATTTATACTTCTGCGTTGAATAGTTTCCTACAGTTTTTGTAACTTGACGTGCACCTCCCCAGAAATGTAACTACACCTCGCGGCAATGCAGACCTCGTGTCTATTTTTGCAAGCTGAAATCATTTCCCTCATGCATGTTACATTAGTTTGGAAACCGTGTTTAGTATTCGACAGTTGTTTTGTCAGTGAACCTTGTGAGTTGTAACGGAGCCAGAGTATGTACCGTCACCTTTGTGAAATGTTGCTGCTGTCCTTGGTTTTATATGAGAAGAGGAAAAGATTGCCGGCCGCTAGGCTAATTTATACAATGTAAAATGCCATAGGCTTGTGCTAATACCGTTAGCATGTTACATTTGTATGTAAAACGTGTTTGGTATAAGACAGTTGTTTTGTCAGTGGACCTTGTGAGTTGTAATGGAGCCGATTTTGTAATTGTGTGTGAAATTGTCTCTATCAAGCCATATGTAATGTGTGTTTTGGGTGTGTTTTGAATCAACTAAACTTTACAGCACTTAACAGAAAGCACCGCCGCTGACTAGTGTTTTGGAGGTGTAACTGCAGAGTGACACAGACCGCCCACCGCACAAGTATAAATGCTCACAATGGCGTAGGTGACATGCGGAGGGTCTGCTCACAACTATAAATCCTGCTTTAGTGGGTGAGGCCTGTTGTTATGATACAAAGCTGGTTGAAAATCAGCAAAGTTCCTCTGTTAGTCATTGTCAGTTACAACAGATACATGTGTAAAGGAGCCATCTAACAAACACACTGATGTTTTTTTACCAGTCCACATTTTCCTCAAGGGCAAAGAACAGTCCAGGCTGAGATTAGGTGAGAACTGACTTTATATATGAGGTGATGAAAGTTCCCCTCTTTTGTCAGAACAAGTCAAGAGTTTGATTCCAACATGATATCATCCACTGAGAGGAAAAAGTGACAAACTGTCTGAGATACACCTGTTTTTAGGTCATAGATAACTTTGTTAAAGTCTGGTTGGCAAAACAGATGGAGAGATTTTATTGTTGACATTTTGTTCCAAAAATAGTAAATTAACTCTGAACAATAGATTGTTAGGGGAAAATGAACCTTACTGCAATCATAGTGAGACATACTGGGCCTGTATTATTATGTCTGTTATTCCTGTGTGGTCACTGGAAAATTCCATTCTGGCTCTTGATTGATGTTTCCTGAAAAACATGTTTATTTTTTAGGAGTCTGCTCTTATCTCCGTCCTCTCTGTCTGGCTCCACCACCTGCCGGGATGATTGACAGATTTACTGACCGACTGGTGACTGAACTGACTGACTCAGCTGCTTACTTGCCTGGCTAAATGTGTGGCTACTTCACTGAAAGGCTGGCTCATTGGGATAACTAACTGACTAAATGAAGGGCTGGATGGATTACCGTCTGGCTGGCTGGCTAATGGCTAATGGCTATTTTCTTTTAATCTGGAACAGAGCCTGCTGACTGATTTTATAAATGGACTTCCTGGATAATTAATCAAATTCAGTTTCATTGTGTAAATGGGTTAACTGCCTGGTGACACCTGTTTGTCTTGCTGGCCTGGCAGACGGGAAGGACTAAGAAAGTCCAACTTACGTGTCACTGAAAGAGGAAGCAGAGAAATTAAAGGGAGAAAGAACATGAAAAGGGAAGAAGGGAAAGAGTACGTGGATGAAGAAGTTGACGTGCAGAGAAAGAGAGAAGTTGGATGTAATGAGTGAAGTGGGTGTGATGATGAAGTGTCTGCTCTCATCAGCACTCAGTCTGTGCCGTCCACATGGTGTTTTGGCAAATGTATGTGTCTAAGAGGTCCAGAAGGGACGTGAAGTGAGCTGTGTGTGTGTCTTTAGACCCGGCTTAATGTTGAGGTGAAGTCCGCTCATGTATCAGACCAGGGGGAGTCACCACACACTACCATGCCCTTATAAGGAGAGTGTCTAGTGTCCCTGTGGAGCCTCCATCCACCCATCCATCCATCCATCCATCCATCCACGGCGTCCCACCTCTTTCCCCTGGCACTGTTGCTGTGCAGGTTCTCTAGAGGAGGAAGGGGGTCAACACAGACAGATGAGGACTATTTTCTGTGACAGATAGAGCCATCTCAGTCTTTTGGCTCTCATGTGGTAGTTTGTACTTACGTATTTGTGCATCTGAAGATGGAAGATCACACAGTTACTGTTTTTTGTATTAGTAGAATTAGCACTAAATGATTTTGCTAAAACAGAAGTTGGTGTGTGTTCTGGAGTATAGCGGGGGGGTTAGTGTAGTGCTCCAATATGCTGTCACTAATGTTATGTCTCAAGCAGTGAAGCTTGGTAAAAATTTGCAGTGTGTGTGGTTTGCTCGATGCTCCGCATTGCTAGGGGGAAGTCTGGGTGATTGGTTACAAGATATCCACAAAATGCTTCTTATGTCACACCCATATCTTGCATAACTATTTATTAAAACCAAAATGTGCTTGAGCACCTTCCCTTTTTGAAGATGAACTGTAAGATAAACCTAGCGTGTGCACTAGACTAAGTTTTCGGCTTAGCGTATGATATGTGGACACAATCTTTATCATTTTGCTGACCTGATTATTGTTCATTGTGTTCCCATGGTTGTTTGTTTACCCAAGAATTTCACCAACATTATGTCAGACTAAACAGTATGTTTTTTCTGACCTTTTATAAGCGATTCTCCCTGTTTTTTCTCTCTAACCCCGCCTACTTGCACACGTTGTATAAAAATTAAACAACTTAATAAATGAAACAGTGTAGCTTACCGGTGGCCTGCAGCTGCCCTTTTGGAGTGGAAGAGTCACAGTCCTGATAGTTGTTTGCTGGCCAACTCCTGGCAATGAGCTGCAAAGTCCATCATTTGTAGTCACCCTCCAACAGCTTCATCTTCCTCTCTGTAAATCCACCAGCAGCACACTGGCCAAATTATATAGCGAACTGCAGTGTACCCGGAGCTCCGTTAAGCTTGTCTAAAAGGCATCACTTTTTTCTGTCTTTGTTGGTCAATGTTTGTATAAAGTCTCAAAATGAGTAATTTTGAGCTACCTATATAGATGGACTAGATTTTTATATATACTTTTTTGCATGTATGACACATGTTCATTACATTTTTAAATATAGGCTACGTGAGGTTTTTTTGTTTCATATTCCAGTGAGTGCATTTAACCCATTTACGATCGAGTTTTTGGAATATCCCTTTTATGTGTTTGAGCTGTAAACACCATATTCCGTTTATGAGAAACCCAAAATTTCCAGCTTGAGTACTTGAGTACTTGAGAAAGAAACTGGGATGTATACAGGGAATATAAATTACCTAGTTTCTCTGTGCTCATGTAAACAACATATCCAGAATATGATCATAACTGGAATATACTTCATAAATGGATTGTTCATGTCCATGTAATCACACTTACTGTCTAAATATTCCTAAGAATTAAAAGTTCATCGCTCTTCGTAAGAGTGTACTTGCATGATTATTCTCTTATATTATCATTACATCAGTGGCATATGAATATGAAGATGTGAAGGTCATTAATGTTTGTTGCTATTATTTCTGGGACAATTATATGGTCAAACAAAGTGAGTTACTGTAACAGGCCACGGTGTGTGCACTGCACTCATTCAGGTGCTGCACTGTAACCTTGTTTATACCATTATGTTAAAACCAAACTTTAGTAACCATGTGCAGTTGTAGAGGGTAAGGATCATGATTCCCATGTGCTTTTTTCCCCCACCTACCCCATACTATACAACACAGTAAGAAAACACAGCCTTATTCCTGCTTCTTGTTGCTTTCCAGTCAGACCTCTCCATAATTTAAATCGACTCTGTTGTAGGCAAGTTTTACTGCTGTGCTGCACAGAGAGTGCATTTCTAGACTAGACTACCAGACTGGAGTGCAGTGCATAATGATAGACTGCCCTGCTAATGATCTGCTCTATTGTTCAGCTGATAACATCTTGACAAGCAGGTTTTATGGGCCATCACGGCGTTGACTTTGCCAGTTGATAACAAGTTGATGCCAAAAATTCTTTAATATTTGGTTCAGAAAGTGGCTTACCTGGTGTTTTAGGTGAGAATCAGTTGTTTGCAAAACAAAAATTGTTAGAATTTTTGGAATCACTGCTTATTTAATTGTTTATAAATGTAGCTTTTACTCAGCTATATGTGTAAAAGATATTGATGAGAATGATGAGCTTCAGATAACCCTTCCTGAGCTGGGTCATAAATGTCACATTGGATGTGCACTACTGTCATTTTTGACAGAATGTGACAGTCCATCTATTTATTTTCTGCTCTTGTCCTGGAGGGAGTTATAGTACAGTCCATCCCAGTGACCATTAGCAGCCGCAGCTTGTCACAGGACATTTAATACTCCAGTGAACATGCAGCAAACGGAGCCTTAATCAGCTTTATTTTGGATATAACAGACAGTGGTGTAGATTTCACTGCTGAATAATTCAGCGTCATTGGTTTGCTGAATGCTTGTGTGTGTCAGGACAAAAGGGGAAGTTGGGTAATGTGGAAAGCTGATACTGTACCTGTCCGATGCGCAGATGTTACACGCACATGGATCCACACAAGCACATACACACAAGCATCATGACAAAATAATTTATTTCTACTCAGTCTATATTGATTTTAACATAAATTCCTTCTTTTCTCTTGTTGCAGAGACAAACAGAAAGCGGATGATATAGACAGCAACCCGAGGTCCTCCACCAGAGAAGGTACGTGATACTCACACACACACACACACACACACACAGTTTTTTGTGCTAGTGTAGTCATGTTAGAGTCAGACCACACTCTAAGCTGCCACTGAAGCACATCAGCCCAGTAACAATGCTGTGGTTTAGATGATTACAGAGGGGATTAGCCTGCACTTGCTGTATTAAGCCCAAAACTTTCTCCCTCGAAAGCTGTTGAACTGTTTGTCCTAAGCGCTGTTAAACAGAAATACTGAACCTTCAGTCTGTATTTCTCTTTGTTTGCACTAGTTTACACTAATAAATGTCAAATGAAAAGACTGTTAGATTGCCTGTATTATATTTGGATAGAGCAAACATCTGAATGGTCACTCACCACATTCTTTTAATGTCTTAATATCTAGCAAGTGAAATTACAGTGAATTAAAGTAACATTTAAGAAATCTTCATAATCAGTATTAAATATAAACTGATGCCACTCAATGCTTTCTACTACCTGCTTATCAGTTAAACATGGCCAAATGTGTAAAAGATTAAACATATAATTTGGCAAATTTACAAGATTTTTTTTTTTTTTTTTTTTTTTTTTTTTTGGAGGACATGAATCTGGCTCTCAGGGTAAGCATTTTCATAAAATTAAAATGTGCATTTAAAGGTCCAGTATGTAGGATTTAGGGGATCTTTCACAGAGTCCACCCTGTTTCTACAGTAGCCGAGAACGGACAAACCAAACACTGGCTCTAGATAGAGCCATTTGTGTTGTAGTATTGGCCACAGTTCTCCTACACACTTGGCACATGGAAGTTTCAGTTGGTTACAATCTGCAACCTCACTGCTAGATGCCACTAAATCCTTCACAGTAATGCTTTAAGATAGAAGAGAAGTATTTTTCTGTTGACGAGGATCATTTTGACTCTACTTTGTCTTTCGCAAAGAAAAAAAGTTTACTAAAGGTACCCTTTAGATTTACATTTAGTGTAACTCACCAAACTTGTGTGTGTCATTGAGGTCCAACAAAAATACAGAGTGTTTGTCCCTCCTCATTAAGCATTTGCAAAGCTAATAATCATTTAAATCATGTTTTTTTTCATCCATGTTTGCTAATTTGTCAGCTGTTAATGGGCGGGATAGTGTGAAATCAATTGCAAGGGAAATGCACAACCCGCATGCTTGTCATGCTTCCTTTTTACAACGAGGACCCATTTATTAAACAACACTGCTCTATAGTGACACCAGCAGTAAAGATCTTCACAGGGGACCTTTAATCAAGGCCTTGCATCAATGTCCCTGTTGTTGGTTTGAGGTTAACAGCACGAACACTGATAAAAGATGTGAATGTGCTATCTGACACTTCTACTTCTCAGACTTTTTTCCATTTTCCATTTAATAGACAAGTATCGAAGCTTGTAGTAATACAAAATGCTAAATTACAGTGACCACTCTATAAATCATTTGGCTTGTGTGATGATTTCTCTCTCAACGGAGGTTGTTTCAGACACCAGGGAAGGCAATTTAAATGTGGCACTCATTTTGGTGCTTAGAGTTTGCTTTAATTATGAAGCACAGACAGCCTTGAGAGTGCTGCGCGGTGTCACAAGCACATTTTTAAGTAAGGGGAATGTTTACATTGAGGTCGAAGTAGGACAGTGGGGCTGTTAGCGGTGTCAGTTTGTGTCACTGAGAACGTCATTTGGCACTACACACCAGTAACAGAAAGGCGGCTCATTGATCAAGACCGACAAGTTGACTGACAGGGTAATATGGAGTTTCCCAGTCACACAAATCTGATGTTTGCTTCAACACCATTTGGACCTCTAGAGGGATTATAAACTTTCTTTTCATTCTGTTTTTCTCTGTAACTTCTTTTTTTCTCTCCCTCTCTCTTTATTTAAAAATTGGGACCTTCTCATAAGGGGCATTTTAAAGGGAAATGTGTACTTTTTAAATAGTTTGTAGTTTGCACCCTCAGCACATTCTTCATTCCTCAACCAAAATACCCCTTTATACGGTATACTTACTATTTGTGCTATTCCCCTTTAACTTAACCCACGTCAGATGATGGTAAATACTATGCGAGAGAGGAAAATCAAAGTTTCCACACTTTCGGTCCAGGCCATATAGATAAGTGGTTGTGAAAGAGGAACCGAGCAGACGAGAAAATTCCCTGTGTAGTTTTTCCTTCCCTGTCTGGTATTAGACTGAAGGGTAGAGACAGGAAAGTCTCATATATCAGAGAGCAGTTTATAGTTGTGTGAAGCTTAGTAGATGTAAAAGTTTGATTTCAAGTGGGCAAACACAGAGGATGCCTGTACAATAATTGTACTGCTAATCACCTTGGGTAAAAGTGTTTATGGTATGGAGTGACTCACCCTCTGCATTAAAGACATGTACAGGATAATGTCTTGCACTGTAGATGCCATTTAGAGTCTTGAGTCTGCCAACTGTGGTCCCATACACATCACTGCTAGACCTTTTGAATTACTCAGAATCACATTACACAAGTACCAAATGAGGTTAACTTTAACAACTTTCTTCACACTTTCATGCTTCGTCACTCCTGCACTCTGGGCTCTCTCTCATTCTCTCACTCTTATTTGTCAAAAAAAAGGTCAGTATATGAAAGTTTATAATAGCAGTAAATAAAGTAACTATTCAATGTCCTGACCTGTGTTCAACCCAGGTGGAGAGGAGGGTTTTGAAGGTGGGTCAACAGGTGTTTGTTGAGCCCTTCAGATAGTCCATCATTATGGCTTAAACCCTCAGATTAAATCCAACATGAGGCATGGATTTATGACAAGCTATTACTATCTGTGAGCAGGATGTGAAAGATGAACACAGCTCAGCCTTTAACAAGGTGCGAGTGTTTCTGCGGAATATTTTATGCGTTTATCAACCTTTCTGGAAGGTTAAGACTAGGGCTGGCACGACACCAGATATGCTGCCAAAAAAAAATCACAATAACGTTTTTTTTGCGATATCTATAGAAAATTGGAAAAATGATAATAATTTCTACCAGTCAAATTCATGTTTTGTCTTGTTTTGTCTCTTTTTTTAGCAAATGAATTACACTCAGAACACAAGTGTATGGAGGTGGAGAGAGAATCTGTAACCATAAGTGTACAAAGTCATACAAAAAGAGCAGTTACACTGAATGGGTTGTGAAAAGGCACCCAGAAGGCTTTGGGGGAGGGAGACAAAGCAAGAACGGAAACAAACAAAAAGGATTTAAGAGGTGCTCTACTATTTACACAATATTATCATATTTGTGGTATTAACATAATATCAATAATTAATATTTATATATCACAGTTTTTCGTTTATGCTGGGATATTGCGACACCCTTGTTAAGACCTCGTGTGTCACACTGTAAAAATCCTGTTGTAGACGCACTACCCAAGCGTATCTTAGTGTAGACCTTTTTTTCTGCACACATGTAATTAATAAAATCAACAAATAACTACTGCATTTTATTCAGGTGAGCTAGCTCCAGGTTCTTTTATTGTCAATACTAACTCACTGTCATTGCATACTTGTGTATACTTATTTATATTGTATATATAATCATATTGGAATGCGGCCATTGTTCCAGCTGTACTTTTCTTACTATGACAAGCAAAAATGTCCGCAGTGACAAAGGTCTATTCACTGTGTAAGGTCAATGCAAAAACAGTGTACTCAGTCCAGTTAGCCAGTGTTGTTGTGAGGAGAACAGAGTGTGGATCTTCATACATATGTATATGTATGTATGTTTATATATTTTGCATGTTTTACTCGATCACCATAAAGAGGCTGACAGGGATGAACTTCATAAAAAATGATGTCACTACCCACGTTGGTCTGGAGCTGTTGTTTGTTTCATTTCTGCTTTGGCTTCATGAGAGACAAGAAATAGTAGAGAAAGCTCCTGGAGCTGGTTTACCTCAGGGGGATATAAAGCATACACTTAACTGCTAGTGAAGTTAAGTGTCAAGGGGTATTATCGGAGCTTGAATGTGTACACACACTGACATTACTTGGTTTGAATTCCGGTCAGATTTTTCTATGTAAAACAGCTTTCGGCGCTGCCAAGTTTTTGTTCTTTTGTTTAAGGTTTTTTGCGCTTCTCCTGGTTTAATGTTATTTACTGTTACTATTGTTTATGGTGTTGATACGTGTCAGTATATTGCCTTGTTGCATCTTACATTTTGTCAGTGGAAAAGTTGCAAGCCTTATTTTTGTATTGTCTACTCTTTTCTAGCTCTGTAGAGAGATCTGTTTTGGTGAAAGTGTTGCCCTGAATCATTGCATTATTCATGAATAGTAGCCTCAGCATACCAGATTGCAATGCAGCTACATTTTAAGTGACATCACGGCAATCACAGACACTCCCCAGTGTTCACAAACTAGTTGGGTTGGCACGCCAGCTATGTTAATGTGCACACTAACACACACACACACCTATGACTCAAAGCATAAATGTGTTCTCGGGAGGTTGCTAAAGTGATTCTGGTGTTGTGTAGGAAATGACAAATTAATGATATCCAACAGTGTAGCAGTACGAGAGAGATTTTCCTCAAGGCATCTCCTAACAGCTTAAAAGTGTTTTTTCCCTGACACACTTTCTATACTAAATGAAAATGCATAGGAAACCAAAATTTGTATTAGCTGCCACTGGACCTTTAATGTCACAAGGCCTGAACAAACACTCCCTGTAGATGTGCTGAGAAGTCCTTTGATAGTTGTCCCTGGTAGAGCTGGCTGTTTCAGTGGGTAACTGGTACCTGAGGGCAGCATAACCAGAGTTTGGCTGTGGATAAAGGCAAGTGAGTCTGCTGAGGAACTTGTTGTAGCCGCAGGTCATGGTTGGTCTAGAAAATTAAGGCTTTGGACTGCTGCAGCACATGTACCAACATGACATCATTTCAGTACAACTTTAATCCCTGTTAGTGTAACGTGAATGTGAACCAGCGCTGCCCCCTTCTGGTAGAATGTTGTATTTAAACACTAGATTTTACCATGACTGCATGAAATTCATTATCGGACGCATTTTAAGATTAATAATGTCTCTGTAGGAGCTGTGTTCAGACTGCCACTTGTGTGTACAAATTTGTGATGAGTGCAACTTGATGGAATACATAGAAATAGTCGACAGCTCGCTGGAGGCTGTGCAGAGAAGTGCAGTGTGATTATCATGTGCGCACTGCAGCACAGTGTCTCTTTTGTTGTCACTTCACACTATGACTTGTGAAGTCCAAGATAGGTTGGATCTGTGTGTGTGTGAGAAAAAGACTGTGACCTTAGAGTTTCTTTGTACTGTATGAGTTTGCAACTCTATATCCTTGATAGACTGACTCTACTCAACAGATGTTTTTAGAGCCATAGGTCAGTTTTTAGAGCACATCTGCATTTTTCTTTCATTTCAAATTCAGAGCACTTTTGTTTCCCACCCAACATCAATATAACATCTGGTTATTGAATCATGTAAATCCAGCAAGGTTACACCATTTCCATTAGCATCCCCATGATGTGCTGTGACGTTCTCCTTTTACTGCAAACATGGCCTCATATTATGCTACTGTAAGTTTAAGGCCTGCTGTGATTACAGAGTGTGTGACCACCCTCCATGGCTGAGGAGGTAGACTTTTCCCTGGAAATTGCTACCTACCCACTGCCTTTTGCGTTCAATAAAGTCTTTATAAAGCGTAACTGCCACTTAGGACTACATCCTTGTGTTTGGCCATGTTTAAAAAGGCCTGGATCCAGATGGGCAGAGAAATAGGTTCAGAGTCTCAGGAGTTTAATCCAACAAAGGTGGGAGGAATTTTTGCATTCTCAGCCTTTTTTACTGACCAGGAAACACACACATAACACATATGTGCACAGTGTGAGGGCAAAGTAATTTTTGACAAACATTTTGCAGTGTGCATGCAATTTTTGCTCAGTTTAATTTCTGTGAAAGGAAATTACTTTTAAAGATGATGCCACTGATTGAAAAAAATTGTAGAGCTCAAACAAGTAGATGGATAAGCAATTAGTGAATCGGCAAAAGAAAATCAGCATAAGTCTTAAAAAAATAATGAAAATATAATGCTCTGATGTAGTTATTTTCTTATTTTTCTCAGTCTTCTATGATGTGCACTGAAAATCTTTGTGTTTTGAACTGTTGGTCAAATAAAACAAGACATTTGACGACTTAAACTTGGGCTCAGGGAACTTTTGATGGCAAGTTTTCAAAACGTTCTTATCATTTATTGAACAAGTGATCCATTTATTGCGAATATATTTTGCAGATTAATTGATAATAAAGTAATTGTTATTTCTGCCTGAGAAAATAATTTTTTGGTTTTTCATAAAAGGTCAAAATACTGAACGAAGAATCTTTCTGTCAGTACTACTTTGACTCACATCTCGAAATGTTACTAGACTGTTTGTCACAAAGTAAATGCACATGAGTCCTAACCTGCTCCAGTTTTCAGACCACGTTACAATTGAATTCTCACTAAATCAGTCTCAGCTCACATGCGGACATTTGCATCCAAAAGGCAACACAAACTGTAAGTGAAAGCATCAACTGTCAGTGACGCCTATTTAAAATTCCCCCAAAAAACATGCTTAGCACCGCAGCTTTATGGCTGAAACAAGAACCGTGTGAGAACCTTGTCGTTATTTTGTCTCGCTCTGTGTTGCCTTATAATGATGTGGGTAGCCAATCATGGGCTACTTCGAGGCTAAAACTTCTGATACATGTGACAAATTTGGTTAACGCTGAATGCGTTGGTTTGTGGTTCACTTTGCTACAAGCGTCTGCACGTGGGACCAGAAACCCACACACTTCATAAACATACAGATTAGCTACACTAAACTGGGCTGAGATATTAACTCTTCAGTTTAAAAATGCATCAGTCAGAACAACCTCTGTTAGATAGGAGTCACACATGTGGTATGATTTTTTTTAAAACTATGAGTTATTATGAATGTCTCTGTTATACAGTCTGACATACACCGTTAACTACACATTGTTAAATATATGCATTCATGTCTGTGTTGATGTCTGTTTTTCACTACTGTATTCTGACCATCAGGTTTGCTGGAATGGGTAACCTGCTAAAAGTCCTAACAAGGGATATAGAGAACTATCCACACTTTTTCCTGGACTTTGAAAGTAAGTCTGGCAAAGGAGTGGAACAAAGGGAGAAAAGATGGATGGAGAGAGAGATGTGGGAAGGGGGGCGGGAGGTGTAACCAGCTCAGCTGTTTCCTTTCTGTCAGCAGGTCTGTGCTCCTGATGACGAAGCCGCGAAGGAGCCTGCTTATGCTCCTCTCTTTCTCTCCTTTGCTCTCTCCCATCCTTTCACTCGGTCATGACCTCCTGCTCTTTCAGCTCCGATTTCTCCCGTTTGTCTTTAAATAACGTATTGATGACTCTTTAACATCACATGGACGTTTCTTCCTCCTTTCTCTTTCTGTTTCTCTCTCTTGCAGAAACCAAATGGGGAATCTGTTAAAAGTGCTCACTTGCACAGAGCTTGAACAGGGGCCAAACTTTTTCCTTGACTTTGAAAGTGAGCTCAGCTTGTACCTGTCCCTCTGCCAGGCCAACCCCCACCTCCCTCTTCATCCCTAATTCATTTTTCCTTTAACCTCTCTTTAGCTGCTCTCACAGGTCAGGGGTCAGCCCATTCAGCTATTGAATTGTCAGCCTTCGTTTGCATTTATTAGAATTCGTGATTGATTTTAGGATGCTTTTGAAATCCATGACAAGTTGAAGAATGGAGCTGACCCTTGACCTTTTGCCGTCTGCTTTTACTAACTTTTCCGCATGCATCTCCCTGTATGTGAACTTAAAATAAGACACATTTGATACCTGTGTATGTGGCATAATGTAATTACTAACATAGTGTTATTATCCAGAGTGTTAAACAGTGTTTTGTCCCCATGTAGCCTTGTTTCTCTTCCTGCATAGTCCTGTTATCTGTAGTTATGTCATTATTTTATCAGTGTTAGGGTCAATATGTGACTATTAAATCAGCTACATCACTGCTCTGCTTCCTAATGCTCACATGAAATACACAAATTGGTTTATAAATCTGCTCTGGCCTTTTTCTAAAACCTCCTACAGAAAAAGAAACACAATACGCCTCCATAGTGGCATTTCAGCCACTCTCACAATGTAGCCAACCTCAGGCTTTGTTTATTCAGCAAAGAGGAAATGATGGGAGTGGAAGGGTTTTGAAATGCAAAGCAGACCCCAGACAGAGTTTTAATGTCACCGATGCTCTAAATTTAGAGCTGCATTTCTCTCTGTGGTCATAATAGCCAAATCTGTAGTCTCCTGCAGAAACATATGATTATTTACAGTATTGTAGATCTTAAATAGACTCCCATGATGTTTAAATGTTTTTGTTTTTTTTACCATGCAGGAAATATGAAGCAAAGACTCAATTTTATTGTAGGTTGCAAGCATGGCAGAGTGCAGTAGAATTCTGCTTATATACACCATTAATTGGAAGCAGTAAAATGGCAAGAATATCATAGTATTGTGATCCAGACCTGTTCATTTTTTGCACATTAACCAGGTTCTACTGTAGCTTGTGTCTGTCCCAGAGCTTGCTTTAGCATGCTGTGGATTATACTGTCCTGTAAAGACACTGGAAACATTTCACTGTAGTCCAGCACTCCCAGTTTTCAGCACATACTGTTTACCTCCATTCTTTTAGTCAGCCTCCTTGAAATGCGCTTCAAATTCAGATTTTTTTATGAATACTTGATAATGAAGTTGGTATGGAGCCATTTGGTCTACTGTAGAGTGCTTCCCTTCTTTTATAGACAACTTAAGTCTTATCACTGTAGTTAACACATAATGTCTGGAGTGTGTATTTCAAATTAAATGCATCACTCTGAATGCCCAAGGCTGCTCATTTTGGTGACTGACTGACTGACTGTTGATGGAGTCATGTGGATATGCTGTATGTGCTAAAAGCTGAAACTGTTTACTGGAGTGAAATAATGCCTTTAGCTTTGACCCAAACACACTTCACTCTGCTGAATGTTTTTGTGCTCATCATCACAATGGACAACGTTTGATGAGTTACTCTTTAGTGACAAAAACAGTCAGCACACATGTTCCCCCAGTGAGTGTCCCATCCCAATTAAAAACATTGTTCTTTCATTCAATTGAAGCCCTTTCACATCAAATTTAGGCTAGAAAATTTAAGGATAAATTTTAAATCTAAAAAAATTACATTTCACTTTCAATGATTCTTGATGTGAAAAGGCATGAATTATCAGTTTTGAAATGTATTTGTATTGACATTGACTAGCAGCTTAGCTTAGCTAACTACTGTCCTCTGCTGTATGTGTGTGTTTTTGTATGTATGTGCATGTGCTCGCATGTGTGTATGCATTTTGCGTGTGTGCTTTGTGTGTTAGATGCACAGCCGACAGAGGGAGAGCGCGAGGTGTGGAACCAGGTGAACTCGGTCCTCCAGGACTCTGAGAACATCCTATCTGGCCTGCAGGCATACAAAGGAGCCGGCCAGGAGATCAGAGATGTAAGGAACACACACACACGCACACAACACCATAAAATTAAATTAAATTAAGAACCATAAAATTCATACTAAATGTCTCTACGTGTAAAAGCTGAACAGTTTGCAGTACAGGGGAGGAGAGAGCAACTGAACTGACATCAGGTTTCACCACCATCATCATCATCACACACAGCTAACTAGTTAAAGCTGCACAGTATACAACATTTGTGTTGCACCTGGTTCACGGTGTTTATGATCATTATGGTTGTAATCATGGATGTTTTCTAATGTGTTCTGCCATTTTTTTATTGTTTGTTTGTTTTTGTTCTTTTCCAGGCAATTCAAAACCCTAACGACTTCATGCTGCAGGAGCGAGCCTGGAACTCAGTCTGCCCGCTGGTCATCAAACTCAAGAAGTTCTACAGTTTCTCGCTCAGACTAGGTACATGCAGGTCATGTTATAGTAAAGGCTTTTAAAGCTTATTGAGCCACTCAAGTTAAGGTGAAGTTGTAGTCCTTATCTTATTTTAGAGTACTGAATTCCATCAGTCAGGTGGTCTTTAAATTACTTTTTTTTTTATTTCAATAGGGTTGAAATATCTTCTCGTAACTTTCAGTATTTTTAATACTTTGTGACATAATTCTTAGATAGATTCTTTATTTTGAAAATGACTTATTCAAGTTATAAGAACTTTCATACATGTACCTGAAGTTAGGGGGATACACTTAAGTTTGCGAGAACAAAACTTTATTAAATTGTCAAACCAACTATAGAGGGCTTAATATAAAAATTAGTGTTGTAATAGGAGTGATATGAAAGTCTAAGATAATGAAACTCATGTCAGACAACAAAATTAGTTGACTATAAAATTAATTATGAAGTGACTTGACTTGACAGGTTCTCCTCCTCTGTCGAAATGGTGCATGCCCTAATAAATTCTGAACGCGAACTTAAAGAGGTTTTCAGGTGTAGCAGAGACTTGACACGTACACAGTGGCTGACATCTTGTCTGTGTGTGTCTGCAGAGGAGGCTCTGCAGAGTTTGCTGGAGTCACTGACATGTCCGCCCTTCACGCCCACTCAGCACCTGGAGAGAGAGCAGGCGCTGGCCAAACAGTTTGCTGAGATCCTCCACTTCACTCTGCGCTTTGATGAGCTCAAGGTCTGATGGAAACCCTGAGCTGTTTCGCTCAGTAACACACACACACAGTTTCAGTCACTCTGCCCTCATTACTGTACTCTGTGACACACAGAGAGGGACACTTGTATGAAACAACATGTTGTTTAGTTTTTATTAAGCATTGGCTAAATGTATTTCTGTTTACTTGTTTTCCTGCAGATGAGAATTCCTGCCATCCAGAATGACTTCAGCTACTACAGAAGAACCATCAGTCGAAACAGGATAAACAACATGAATGTGAGTTGTCCTGACGATGTTATATCAGTTTAGATCGGCACGTGTCTGAGAGCCATTTTTATTCTTGCTGTTTTTAAGTCCATATGGTTATATTGTACAGCAATCTTTAATGCGTCTATACTTAGTATCTGTAGTGCTGTCTTAGCCCAAAAGAGGAAACAAAGACGCTTGTGACGCTTTTTAATGTGTTTTATGTCACATCAAAGACCAGAAATAGGCCAAGCTGTACTGTAGCAAGTAGTGGGGAGAACCTTTCTACACTGACACCTCTTGTTTATCTGTGTGGTTTGTTTGTGCACCCACAGTTGGATATCGAGAGTGAAGTCAACAACGAGATGGCCAACAGGATGTCTCTGTTCTACGCTGAAGCCACACCCATGCTGAAAACACTCAGCAACGCAACCACAAACTTTGTGACAGAGGTGAGACTGCTGGCTCTGCATCACTAGCTGTGTTTCCATAAACATATATTTTCCCACCCAGTTTGAAGTATAGAAAAGCTGTGTGGAATCAGCCGAAAAAGGTTTTTCCTCATTTGAGGTGTGTTTCCCTTTGTCAGAAAAGAGTTCTTGTGATAAATGTGATAACTTCTTACAAAAATGTGCTTTGCTGAGCCTGGTTTATATGCTTCAGGACAGTTAATAGAAACACACATAATTTGCATTTCTTTTCTTTTTTTCAGCATTTCAAACGATTTTTTTTTTTTTTTTTCTAATTTCTATTTGCTAAGAATTGAATGAAAACAGCCACTGTGTTTACTGTGGGTGGGTGATATGGCCCTAAAATATCAAGATATTTCAGGTTATTTTTGCCACACTGTGGTGAAGTGGTTAGCACTGTCGCCTCACAGCAAGAGGGCTCTGGGTTCAAATTTACCAGCCGCTCTTCTGTGTGGAGTTTGCATGTTCTCCCTGTGTCAGTGTGGGTTTTCTCCAGGTACTCCAGGTTAACTGATGACTCTAAATTGTCCGTAGGTGTGAATGTGAGTGTGAATGGTTGTATGTGTCAGCCCTGTGATAGTCTGGAGACCTGTCCAGGGTGTACCCTGCCTCTCACCCAGTGACAGTCCTAACAGGATAACAGTTCCTAACAGTTCACCTGCCAATATTCAGCAAAAACTAAACAAAAATGATCTCTCATTTCTTTAGTTTGTGAACAACAGCAGTAACTCAGAGTGAGATTCAGATTCTGCACACAATATTAATATTAATATTACGACAAAAAAAACCTACCACAAATTACACATTTAAACAGCTCCCAATTACAAAAATGTACCCTGGGATTTCCCATCTGGACCTCTATGCTCTGCCCTTTCTCCTCTAATCATCATGCTGTAACCTGTGACACACACCGCTGACCATCAGACCCACCCGCAACTACGCTGACCTATTTATTATAACAGGCTATTATTCTATGATGACTACCGCACATTCATGTATATGTGGTTTTTGTCAAGCATGGAGTGTCGCATAGGTTTACATTACTAAAGGCTGATGACAAAATGACTTGACGAAACTGATTTTTCAATGCGCACGGTAAGAGGAAAGAGCTGCTGCCAGAGGAGCCGCTGAATGAGTTTGACGTTCAGGTGTAGTAACGCCACTGATTCCACACTACTGAAGTCACTCCCCTTTTTGGATCTTAACTCTTCGACTACATATACTGTGTATTGGCAATATCATGATAGGAATTTTACTCATCATATTAAAAATTATACCATATTAACATGAACGGTAAACGGTCATTACAACTATGAAGACGACAAACTAGCCACAGAGTAATTGTTTTCTAACTCGTACTTTATCGTTTAAGAGAAACTAGTACTTGTGGCAACTATTGTCATCATGTTGTGGCTCTAACAGCACGGCGGGGCCCTTACAGCTGTCTTGCACTCTGAATATTTGAAGGAACAAGTCCAAAAATACAAATTTAAAGAACACATGATGTACACTGTGTTCTTTTTTTATTTCTTTTTTTTTGTGTGCGTCAGAAAGCATATCATCATGTTGTAACAATTTATGTAATTTTTTAAACAATTTCAATACTCATAGGAATCAATAAACTAACTGTTGTTTGTATTTTGTTTGTGCCTTGTGTAGAATAAGACTCTCCCACTGGAAAACACAACAGACTGTCTCAGCACCATGGCCAGTGTCTGTAAAGTCATGCTGGAGACACCGTGAGTCATGATGTTTTCTACTCACACACACGCACACACAATCATGAGGGTTCTCACAGGTCGTTAATATGTGCTAGTAAGTGATTTCTTGCTCAAAAGATTATCAGTGTTCAGTAGGACCGTAAATGAGACACACTTTGACCCAACACATGACGATGAGAGTCCTTTAATTTCAAGACAACAGTGTGAGATTCAATAAAAAGCTCTTGAATATGATGCCCATTTAAGTGTGGAAACCTTTATGGGTCACAGTCATTCACACACTCTTGTGGCATGTACAGTATGTGCACATGTATTCATCCAACTGCACATTAACAAATGATATACCGAAAGTGTTAGCATTGTTTTTTAAAAGGAAAAAAACTCTGTTCAGGCATTTTCTTTGTGCAGATTTAAATTTTCTCATTTTATGATCTGTTCCCTTTCTAACCCTGGTCCTCCCTCTGTGTCTTTGTATTTAGGGAATATTCAAGTCGTTTCAGCAGCGAGGACACACTTTTGTTTTGCATGAGGGTCATGGTCGGAGTCATCATTCTTTATGACCACGTCCACCCCAACGGCGCCTTCAACAAGTCCTCCAAGATAGACGTAAGACACACACGAACACACACATCTGTGCGTGATTGAAGCTGCACAATGTAACAGCATCACTGTGGACCACAGATCTGTTTTGTAATGCAGCTCCTGAGCTGCTGCACTGTCTGACTCTGTTCATTTCTTCTCAGATGAAAGGCTGCATAAAAGTCTTGAAGGACCAGCCGGCAGACAACGTAGAAGGCCTGCTGAATGCCCTCAAGTAGGTTCCCTCTGGATTGTGAAAGAGTGATTTTGTGTTGGTTGGTTAGCAAATGATCTCTTAACTTTTGCATAACCATCCAGCACACTGTTCAGTTTCTTTGAGGAATGTTCTAACACATGTAGGGCCTCAGTTGGTCCATACTGTCACCAAAGTGACCTCTGTAGAGTCACCAGCATGTCAGCAATGTAAAAGTTTTGTCCATTTGTGGTGCCGTCACACTTGACGTGAGTGTTGCTGCAAAGAACGGTTGTGTCTTCATTGAGTAAGCACACTTTGCTTCTTTATCCTAACAGACATCACACCTACTGGACATTACACAGTACATAACACACATGCACAGCTTTAATTTGAGTCAACAAGAGATGAGAGTACTGAGTAATTTGTGTTCCATTTGTTCTTTTAATCTTTTTTTTGTTTTTTTTTTTAGTTTTTTAAATTTGGATTCCCTTTTGAATATGAAAAGAAAGAATGATAATACAGTCCTCGGAGCGGATTGGTGCTTTGGATCTTCCGACCTCCTTCTTGTTGTTATTGTTGAAAGTCCCACTAATGTCCACTGTAATATTTGCTTCTCCTCAGATTCACCACAAAACACCTGAATGACGAGTCCACTCCGAAGAACATCCGGACGATGCTCCAGTAATGTTTGTTCTTTTTTTTTTTTCCTTTTTTTTTTTTTTTACATAAACAGATATGAAGAGGATCAATGCTCTGACCTCAATAAGATGTATATGTTTACATTATTTAAAAAGACTCGATGTTAATACTTGTGTGTATTTGCATAGTCATTCCCTCCAAGCTATTGAACCCTGCAGAACATGTACCTTCTACTTTGCAAAGACAGTATGAAGTCACATCACATGAATTGCCTCTACTGTTAACAGCTGTCAAAGCACAAATGATGGAAACCTATCAGCCTTATGTAACTGAGCTTTGTGAGCAGCACTTGGAAAAAATGTTCTTGGATGAATCTTCTCAGTCTTTTATTTGACAGTGAAATAAGTTTGTTGTACAGCTTTTATTCAAACTCAGCTCGGTTTTTTGAAGCAAAACAAATCTTTCTTTGAAAGAGTGAACATTTTAAATTGTGACACAGGTTCTGGTTTATATCACAGTGACAGATTTTGTGTCAACATGTATGAAACAAGTGAAGTTTTTTCATTCTTTTAATCTACAAAGAGTGCGATTTAATGACAGGATATGAAATCAATCAATGTTGTGTTGCAGTGAAGGGCTAAATATTGACAGCAGATAAGGGATTGATTGGTTCGATGTACGTATTGCTAAAAGCATTTTGGTGTGTTCTCTTTTTATAGTCAGCTTTTGTATTTGTCTTTTTTCTCTCACACTCCAGTCTTGTGCAACTGTTGAAATAAATCCACTGTGAACATAAAAGTTACTTTGCACATCCAGTAAGATCCAGTATGTCAAAGTTTGCTCTGAAGAGGTTTCACCGATTGAATAGGCTGTGATGACGACACACAAAGATCAGATCAACCCACCAAATATTTTATTTGTATGTTTTGTTGCAACGCTCTGAATGAGAGTTGCGTGTTTTGCCATGTTTTAAATGACTTACTTTGTGGCTTTTATATTAAACAGAAAATGCATTTCTCTAAAAGAAAGAAAAAATCTGAATAAATATGTGTTTATTATTATTTCTGCCAGTTTGATGAGTAAAAATGACCCTGTTATTCATTATAATGAGAAACTTGATCAAAAATAATGACTCAAAATAATGAAGTATCTCGAAATAATGACTTGAATTTCAAAGTAAGAGTCTGTATTTCAAAATAATGTTTTAAAATTTCTAAATAATTAGCTAGTATCTTTAAATAACAAAGTAGTAACTCAGAATTACTTAGTATTATAGAAAAAAGTGAGTTAGTGTCTTAAAATAATGATTGAGTATTTCAAAAATAACTTGGCATCTTACGAACTTTATCAAAATATTGACTTAGTATTTCAAAATAATGAAAAAGTAGAAGTCGTTTTGAGAAATTGTCTCATTACTAAATGATTATTTTGAGATATGAAGTCATTATTTTAATAAAGTTTCCCATAATGACTCACAGGATCTTTTTTATTCGGCAGAAATGGGCCTCCATAGTATGTTTCCATTCTCTTTAGAAGAAAATAAATTCGTTTAAACCCTCTGAATCGATTCCCAGAGGTATTAAAGGAATAAATCACCTCATCTCCACTGGTGAGACTAATGTGACTAGATTCAAATTAAATATGAACTGTTGATATTGTTTGACATGTTTAAAGGCATATTTGTCTTATGTTCATCAGACTACACTCAGGATTGTTTCACAGCCTGATAGTTAACATTTTGTGATAATCTACACTCCAAAATTTGCCTTAATTTTGACTGCCAAGGTAAAAGTGAATGACTTTCAAAACTTTCCACACATTTTGTGGTTATGATCACTAATCAAGCCAATATGAGAGTCTATTGTGTATTACTGATATCCTGACTCACTCTACAAACCTTAGCTGATCCTGATTGTTCATTCCCTCAGTGTGCAGCTGAGCAGCAGCTCCGTACGTACTCAAACCTGTGCAAGAGGTCAGACAATCTCATCATCGTGACTGTTGTACATTGCTTTAAGCTACACTGTTAAGTTTTACTGTAATCTCTGAAGGCCAATGGAGAAGAAAGTGTATATGAAAGGATGCAACCAATAAATACTTCTATCAGTTTTTAAGATCAGTTTTATTTTTGATGTAAACCTTCCACGTTCACTTTCCCAGAGAATAACAAGGACTTCACCACACAATCATCATGGAAATGTCTGTGGCTTATCATGGAGCACAACATTGCCTTAAAGACTTTGATAAGCTGACAATATTAGGACTTAACCTGTGAAACCTGTAAAGACAACATTTTTTATGTTTCATCCACAACTTTGACTTCATAAGCCATATATATACATATATACTGATCCATACACTCCTGCCCTTTGATTAACACCTTAACATTCAGTTCATTAACATTAAATTAACACGTCAGGTATCTACCATTCATTTAGCTCTGTTGTTTATTTTTGATCCTTCTGTATTTAGTAATATATACGTGTATGTGTGTGAGCCATACTTTGAATGCAATGTTTTATATGCAATGAGTGAAAACTGTACATGGACGAGACTCGGAGCGAGGTGTACGTATGACATTGATATTTCATATCTGACTGAAGTGGTTCGGAAGGAGCCACGTGGTGATTGATGTACACGAAGCTTCCCTCTTTGCCCCAAGTATTGCTACTGTGTGTTGAATGCAAGAAGTTGTTTTTGAATACTGAGACAAAATGAGTTTGTTTGTTTAAACTGACAGTTATTGTTTAATATTTTTTGGAGTTCAGACTCACTGTTTATATAAATTGCTTTGGCTTTGTATTGCATATTGAATGGGATGTGTGGATTGGATAATAAAGGTGGTACATTTCTTATACACACCATGTTTCCTTTGGTTTTCTTATTAGTACTAGCTTGAAATTAAAGAACAAAACTATGTTATATATAGGAGACCATGTGAACTATGTGAGTGTACACAATATACAAACAAAACTTGGACCCACTCATCTAAACAGCTCTGCCAGTGGTCGAAAAATCCACAATGTACCTTAAAGAATTACATCTGTAAAAGAAAACAAGCACCTTTTGTATTTTTAAATGTTAGACATTAAACAAAACCAATAAAATATTCAAGATGTGTTCCTATTAAAACTACAAGGTTGCTAACTTTATTTATACCTTATGTAAAATACTGTTTTCTTAAAAAACATTTCTTGTGCATAAGTGATTTCTGTAAAGTGTAAAGTCATGGGGACATATTAGTTCTTTAAACTTCTCAATGACTGATTTATTTCTTCAGTTCTTTTCACACAATGTCAAAAATAATTATAAGTAAATGTAAAAAAAACTAAACTCACTTTTTATCTCCATCCAGTGCCGTTTTAACACAACATAGCCTGTGAAGAAATGTAGTTGCAGAATGTATTACATGTGTAAAATACATTAAACTACACCGTCTGAAGCTGCAGCTCTGAGCCTTGCTCTGACATCTTCCTGATGTGGGATGTGAGCTTCACTCCTTGTCTGTGTGTGTGCAGCAGTCCAGGGCTGAGCCTCAAACAGTGGTGTACCTGGAAATGATAGAAACATTCACTTCAGTAATAATGTTTCCACTTTTGGTTCAAACTGCTAAAAAAAGGCCAATGTTATTTCAAAAATAAAATAAAGGAGTTGGATGAAGGCGCATCGTGTTGAAGATGCCCTGACTGAGCTTTGTGTCTTTATTTGATCCAGGATATGATGATGTGAATTTTAGCATACTCATGCTGTGATTCTGAAATGTTACTGTCTTTAACTGTTATATGTTGTGTGTCTGAAACTTTGTTTCAAGGGTAACTTTAGTATTTTTCAGCTTGGACCTTATTTTGCCATGTTTTTGTGTCTAAGCAATGAATGGCGACAAGTATTTTTGAAGTTGGTCCAGTATCAAGGGACAGACTCAGATTATTATTTTAAGTTTCTGAAAATATTATGGAAAGGATCCCTACAGAGATAGACATTTCGTTAAAGAGTAAGATCCTTTTTATTTAACCAGAAACAGCCCTGAAATCACCATCGTCAAACCCACCAGACTCCATTTAAATTAACAGTATTTTAGCTTGTATAAAACCAGCATGTTTTCTTATCTAACTGGGTGAATCAAGGGTTTATTTGATCAAACCAGAGTCGTGATTGTTAACATTGGAAAAAAGAACCAAGATTGCTTTTGTAAGTTTGTTTTGTTTGTTGGTTTGTTTGTTTGTTTCTGTTGACTTTAAATGAAGTGTGCTATATAATGATAAAATGACTTAATTTAAATTGGGTCTGGTGGGTTTGATGACAGTGATGTTGGGGCTGTTTCTGGTTAAACAAAAAGGATCTTATTCTTTAACAAAAACATATTATCTCTGTAGGGATCCTTTCTATAATGTTGTCAGACACTGAACAATCTGAGCCTGTCAGTGGCAAAAACAAGCACTTGTGGTGGACTTAAATTGATGGTGCTAAAAGCTCTGAGTGTTTAAATTGCGGCCTGTTTCGCCGCTGACCGCTGCAGTGCTCTCCTTCAAAACTGGACCAATTTCAAACTAGTTTAGTCACACAGACATAAAAACATTAAAAAATAAGATCCAATACAGAAGTTACCCTTTAATTAATGTGCTGCTCCCTGCCTTGGCCAGGACACTCATGTAAATGAAATTTTTAATCTCAGTGAGGCTTTTCCTGGTTGAATGCATGTTAAATAAATAAATAAATATAAAATAATGTGGAGGAATATATTTTGTCAGCATGGGACATCTGATTGGTCAACATGTTCCAACAGAGCTGACCGTTCTTAACAGCTGCTGTGACTATGATGCAGATTAGGGACTGCTCTCTGATATGAGTGCTGTAGCAGCACACATGCTGTACATTTTAAAGGGTCAGTTCACCCAAATTAATTTCACTGTAACAGTTGAATTTGATACTTGTTGACGCTGCATGTTGACACATTAGAAACAGCAGAAACAAATTTCCTAGCACAGTAACTGCGGAATTAAGTGAATTAATTAATGAAATTAATAAAGGTCTGTCAAGACCTGTAGGCCACTTTAACTTCACACATTTGAACTTATGTTTTAGTCAGTTCAGAGAAAATAAAACAGGGCGACATGTATATAATATTGTAGTAAAATAAAGCCATCCCTCTTTTTGATTTTATACAAGAGTACATTGAAATGTTCAGCATTTTCTTACCACAGACAGTTCAGCCAAGTGGAAATACTTTAGTGCAAGAAAAGCCTTAAAATTTAATTTTAGGTGATAATCAACCATTTAATTTCAAAATCTGAGCATAGCGTTAGTTCAGGCAGGACATGATGTCAAGCTCAGATCACATCCCAGCTACATCAGCTGATTTCAAACAGCCCAATCAACTGATGGAGCAGCTGACTGATGGAAGGGAGTCAGCTGATAGATCACATGATTCCTTTCTACACAACCAATTGGCGAATCTCATTCAGGGTGCCCTATTAAAACTGCTGTGGCCTGCCTACTGTTGCTGCTGCCTCTGCAAGCTGCTTTGTCCCTGCCATAGGCTTTCCATGTAGGCACATGGAAGGGCAGGGAGGTTTGCTCTCTCTGCCTCTGCCTTTCCTCGTTCGCACGTGGAAGGGCAGAGAAGTATGCTCTCTCCGCTTATGCTTTCCACATAGGCGCGTGGAAGAGGCTTTCCACGTAGACCCAAGGAAAGACAGAGAGGCCCGAGAACAGAGCCATACCGCCAAATATAATACTGCAAATGGAAATAAAGTTTTCTTTGAATAAAGTGTTCCTCACAGAACTTTTTTGATTTTAAATGCAGCTTACATCTTCTGTTGTTTTGCTTTAAAAAAAAAAAAACTAAAACGCTCAGAATCAATAATTTAACTCCACTTGGGAGTTACTAACAAGACATAAAACATTTCTAATAGGGTCACAAGTTGCACACAGTCTGCGACTTTCTTGCAGAATCAGTCATTTTCAAACCAATATTTGTCTTGTTTCTTGCTGTGTGGTTACATCATATTCAGCCCAGAGGAGCGGAGCTGCAGTGATTGCTTACTGGGAACGCTCCGGTGTGAGCGCTGGGAAGCCCTGAGTGCCTCCACACTCAGCCGTGGCACTGCTGACCTCACCGGCCCTGGACGGATCCCGGCATTGCACTGGGCCAGGTGCAGCATACTCTTGGCGGTGACCGCGTGGTCGTGACTGTGAGCTGCCCAAGAGGGTCGAGCTTGGGACTCATGAGGATGATGATGAGGAGGAGGAGGAGGAGGAGGAGGATGTTGGGTTCTGCTGTTGAAGCTGAGGAACATCTGAAGGAGAAAGACAACCAAACGTTCAGAGAAATTCAAATTCAACACACTTCCAGGTGTGTTATGTATATTTCACATTAGTTCCTGCATCCAGGCAAATATAATTAAGCATGAGGATTTCACCAAAGCCTGAATATTAAATGACACAGTGTCCTCTATCTCACCCTCTCCTCCCCCCTCCTCAGACCCCATCATCAGCATAATTTGGCTTCCCCCCTGTCACCGCCCTCTCTGAGCAGCTCATCATTAACATGCTTTTTCTGTGTAAACGCTGCTCCATAATGCATGATGCCTGCTGGTTGCACGGTCTCCAGAGGATCCTCCACGTTTATCACCCCCCTTTGATTCAGACAAGGAGGTCACAGTCACAGTGGGGTTATGGCAGTGATGATGAATGGAGCGTGCTTTACCAGCGATTTGGCTTTGCGTAGTTTGTAATGCGCCTCAGACAGTGTTTTCTGGCTCCTGACGGCGTCTGGCTTCCATGTGTTGCTGCGGCAGGTGGAGGCTCTGCTCTTCACTTGCCTGCACAGAGACGGTGGAGTCAGTGAGTGGGTGGAACATCACGGTGCAAAATAAGTTAGTTATGTATTTGTTATCTGCAGAAAGGGAGGGTCAAAGAGCAAAGTGGATCTGTTGCTCTGCAAATATTGATATTTATTCCTACTATCTGCTGCATGTGGTGATGGATAGTTTAGCTGACTTGTATTATTACTGTAGCTTGTATTTAGCCTGTACTGTAGCCTGTATTTTACATATACTGCACGTATATTATATATAACAATATATTTTTTTTATTATCATATTATCCATACCTGTACCTATAAAGTATAGTTCACACATTATGACCTTGCTGCAGGGCACTGTTGGAACTCCTCTGCACGATATTTGCACAATTTCCTTATATAGTCTCAAGCATGGGCAGATTATGAGACAACAGGCCCCTGGGCATAGACATGCAGTAGGCCCCACAACCTCTCCTACAGCAAGATACACAGACTAGTTGTTTAGCATCTTTTTGTTGTTGTTTTGCATCTCTTTGCTATCGTTACACATCTTGTTGTGGATTTGTGTCTCTTTGTAGTCATCGTGTGTCACTTTGCAGCTGTTTTGTATCTCTTTGTAGTTGTTTATGTGTCTTTGTAGTAATTTTTGTAGTTGTTTATGACTCTAAGTGGTCAATTTGTGTCTGTTTGCAGCTGTTTTGTATCTCTTTGTAGTTGTTTATGACTCTAAGTGGTCAATTTGTGTCTGTTTGCAGCTGTTTTACATCTCTTTGTAGTCATTTTGTGTCTCTTTGAAGCTGTTTTGCATCTCTTTGTAGTCATTTTGTGTCTCTTTGAAGTTGTTTTGCATCTCTTTGTAGTCATTTCATGTCTCCTTGTAGTTGTTTACCTCTCTTTGTAGTAATTTTGAGTCTCTTTGCATTTGTTAACATTTCTTTGTTGTTGTTTTGTGTCTGTTTGTAGTTGTCTACATCTCCTTGCAGTCATTTTGAGTCTCTTTATAGTTGTTAACATCTCTTTGTTGTTATTTTGTCTCTTTGTAATAATTTTGATTCTCTTTGTAGTTGTTTATATCGTATAGTCATTTTGTGTTTGTTTGCAGTTTTGCATTTCTTCGTAGTTGTATTGTGTCTCTTTGAAGCTGTTGTGTGTCTCCTTGTAATTTGGGGAGTTTTTCCTTATCCGCTGTGAGGGTCCAAAGGACAGAGGGATGTTGTATGCTGTAAAGCCCTGTGAGGCAAATTGTGATTTGTGATATTGGGCTTTATAAATAAAATTGATTGATTGATTGATTGATTGTAATCCCATTGTGTCTCTTTGTAGTATTTTTAGGTGTCTTTGCAGTTGGTTACATTTCTTTGTTGTAATTTGTGTCTCTTTGGGATCATTTGAGTCGCCACTGGGTCAGTATGAGTCTCTTCGAGTGACATTTTGCAGGTGACACTTTGGGCCTCTGATCTTGTGCCTTATAGGCCCGTTCTGTAATCCATCCATGGTCAAGGGTATTGTAATATATAGACCCTTTCCAAAAAATTAGAATATCATGGAAAAGTTGTTTCATTTCCATAATTCCATTCAAAAAGTTAAACTTTCATAGATTATAGATTCAGGGCCCACAATTTAAACAATTTCAAGTATTTATTTGTTTATTTTTACATAATATGGGCTTCCAGCTCATAAAATCCACGAAAACAGGAATTCAAAAAATTAGAATACTGTGAAGAAATCACCATTTACTTCTCAGTTTTTGCAGAAAAAAAAAGAAAGAAATTAGGATCACTTCAAATCAATCAAAATATGGTACTTTCAAAACGATATGTCAATCTTCAATACTTGGTTGGGAATCCCTTTGCCTTAATCACTGCCTCGATGCGCCATGGCATTGAGGCAATCAGCCTGTGGCATTGCCTGGGAGTTATGGAAGCCCAGATTTCCTTGATGCTTGCTGTCAGCCCTTCTTTGTTTTTGGGTCTGGTGTCCCTCATTTTCCTCTTGATAATACCCCATAGATTCTCAATGGGGTTTAGGACTTCCATTAGCACTGTGATGGCATGGGCATCAAACCAGGTTTTGGTGCTTCTGGCGGTATGGGCAGGGGCCAGGTCCTGCTGGAAGATGAAATCTGCATCTCCATACAGATCCTCAGCAGAAGGAATCATGAAGTCCTCTAAAACATTCTGGTAGACTGTTGCGGTGACCTTGGATTTAAGAAAGCAGAGTTTACCAACACCTGCACCGGACATTGCACCCCAAATCATGACTGACTGTGGATATTTCACACTGGACCTCAAGCAGCTTGGGTTCTGTTCCTCACCAGTCTTCCTCCAAACCCTTGGACCTTGATTCCCGAATGAAAGGCACACTTTACTTTCATCGGAAAAGAGGACCTTGGACCACTGGCCAACAGTCCAGTCCTTCTTCTCCTTGGCCCAGTTGAGACGCTTCCTACGTTGGCTCAGGCTCAGAAGTGGCTTGACCCGAGGAACCCGACAGTTGTAGCCCATCTCCTGGATGCGTCTGAATGTGGTGGTTTTTGAAGCTGTGACTCCCGCCTCATTCCACTCTTTCTGGATCTCTGCCAGATTCTTGAATCTTCTCTGTTTGATAATCCGCTGAAGCCCACGGTCATCTCTTTTGCTGGTGCATCTTCTCCTGCCACATTTTGCCCTTCCACTAGACTTTCCGTTGATATGCTTGGACACAGCACTCTGTGAACAGCCAGCCTCCTTAGCTATGAACTTTTGTGGCTTACCCATCCTATGGAGGGTATCAATGATGGTCTTCTGGCCAGTTGTCAAGTCTGCAGTCTTCCCCATATTGAACCGAACTGAGACAATTGAACCAAACTGAAGCAATTTAATGACACCTGGGGAAACCTGTGCAGGTGCTTTGAGTTTAGTAGATGATTAGTGTGTGACACTCAGTTTAAAACATTAATGCCCTGCAAAATTTGGGCTGATTTCTTCACAGTATTCTAATTTTTTGAATTCCTGTTTTCATGGGTTTTATGAGCTGGAAGCCCAAATTATGTAAAAGTAAACAAATAAATACTTGAAATCGTTTAAATTGTGGGCCCTGAATCTATAATCTATGAAAGTTTAACTTTTTGAATGGAATTATGGAAATGAAACAACTTTTCCATGATATTCTAATTTTTTGGAAAGGGTCTGTATATTGTATATAGCCCTTTTAAAGTCTTGTATATTATTTAATTTTTAAATTTTATTCAAATATGTCTTTGTCCCGTTACCTCTCAGTCTGTCTGTGTGTTGCTCTACCACGTGAATTTACCCCTTGGGATCAAAAAAGTTAGAACTGATTTTATCCTATCTTTGCACATCTTTGCACATTTTGTGTTTCTGTTATGTTATTTCACTCTCCTCACATCCACCACCAGTGTCCAGACTCCATTGGGGGAAATAATCCTGAACTAACCATGGCAACACTGCCCCCTAAATATTCTACATCACTGTGGGGTCTAATCACCAAAGCCTCATCACATTAACTGTATCATACACCATGTCATAAACTTATTGTTCACTGTAAATGAAGTCTCTCCTGGTTTAAATAATGTTTCTCATCAAGCCCCATCAGTAACATGATGAAGGTCAGTACTGGGAAGTTTGTTTTTGTTTACTTAGTGAACTTATTTTTCCTTCAGTTTTCCTTTGAATTTATTTTTTGTTATTTGACTGATTATAATGGCCTATTTGAAAGCTGTTCATCCCTCTGTATGTACCCTGCAGCCTTACGCTTGCTCAGTGGGGTCCAGGTTGTCCAAGTAGTTGAAGCGTAGTATGTCTTTGGGACATCTGTCAGAGTCTCTCCACGGTGGCGGTGCAGACGGCTGCTTCTCCTTTCTTAAACCCGCCCTGGAGATGCCTCCAAGTGTCTGGGTGGTGGACGCTGGGCGCTCTTCGCTTATGAAGGCCACTTCTGAAAGATCTTCATATCTACTGCTGACAGCTGATGCATGTGGAACCTTAAACTGCTGCTGAGATGAGGCAGCCTAGAGGTGAACAATAGACTTTTATAAACCTCTTATCACTGCATGATAATGTAGTTACACCAAAATATAAATGTATCCTTCAGGAAAGTTTATCCTGAGCCATAGTAGCTACTGGATATCTGAGAACTGAATCATGGTTGATAGCTCTGGATCTGATCTCTGGACCTGCAGCGAGGTGAGGCGCAGCTCCTGCACAGTCTGGATGTAGTGTATCTTCCAGACGCCCTGCTCCAGAGGGGTGGGGGAAAAGTTGATGCACCAGCCAAGCCTCACACATTTTGGCATCCAAAGCTGGTCCAGTTCCACTATGCTCTTCCAGTGCCAGCTCACCTGCCAGCAGATGATAAAAACACCCAGAGTAAGGCCATTTAACAAGCCAGAATTCTCATCTGGCTCAGAAATAGTTGAGTCATCCATGTTAGCAACCCTACATAAATGTATTTATGGCCAGTGTGTGTACCTGTGCACATCGACAGAGGCTGCGTGGGTCCAGAAAGGAGAAGAGGTAGAGGCAGAGGGCTCTGGGCAGCAGGCAGGTGAAGTCTGAGGCCTGCAGAGGGAGCCGTCTGCTCACGCTGAGGCTCAGGAACGTCAGCTGCTCCACTGAACAGCTCAGCACAAAGTCCTGCAGCACCGCCTTCCTCTGGCTGTCAGACCACCTGTCAAACTGACAAAGACATGAAAGAGCATAACAGAATTCCTCCACATGGACTCTTTCAGCTGAATGGAGCGGGGTGGAAAATGGACTCCACAGAGCACAAAGCGTGGTTTCTAATGACTACCAGAGATTCAGTTGTGTTAGAGGGAGCTCCAGCTGAGCTCACTGCACAGCAGAGAACCATCAGTACATTTAGTGTATCTCTATTCATCATCATCATCATTTTAACGTACCCACTTGGCCAGAAGGTTTCGCCTCTCTTCAAACACCTGAGAAAGAAGAGCATAGTGAATCACATCAAGCTGCATTGTCAGGAATAAAAATGTCTCATTGTGTGTATCAGGTGAGATATTTTACATGATAAACACATATGACAGAATGACTCCTGTAAGTGAGTCCTGTGTCATCACACATGGGCCAAACTTAACATTCTGGATCCTGGTTATAACTTTCATCTGTTTAAGACCTTACTTAACTTATTAATACTGTAAGAATTACTGTTTCTGTGCCAGTGGTGGTGTCTTTAATTTATCTTTAATTCAAGTTTTTCTAAGGGAAACATTTATGATTGTATCTCCAGTGGTAGAATGCAACTATGGACATTATACTTAGACAGTACTTCAGTACAACTTTGAGGTTTTGTAGTTGAGTTGAGTGTTCACATTGTATGCAACTTTATACTTGTACTGCGCTACATATAAGGGTGAGATATTGTAGTTTTTCTCGTCATTTTTATCTGACAGTTGTAGTCACTATTTGGCTTTAAAATCAAGGTTGTAAATAAAAATCATATCACGTGTAGAATACAATGATTTTTTAAAACATAATATCAGTGGTTCTTTACCTTTCTGGCTTATGAGCATTTCCACCAAAGAGACATTTCCACTCTAAACTTCTCAGATGGTTTTATTAATAGAGCTGTTTGAGGCCCAAAGTGGTAGAATTAACCAAAATGTCACAAAAGTATAATAAAATAAAAACAAACAAAAAATAAAATAGAATAAAATAAAATAAAAAATACTGATTTGCAACGTGGAACTTTGCTTTTTCTTCTTTCCTGCCCTATTACATTATGTGAACACCACTCAGATAAAATTTTCGATTTTAATTTCAAAGAAGCTTAATTGGCCTGTGAAACATACATTTACATTGCCAAAGCAAGTGTGAAATATTTATCGGAAAACTTCAATTGATAGCCCGGGCTATTATTTGCTTAAATCACTGAAATCAACAGGCCTATATTTGCTACAGGTCTTTTAATTCTTTCACACAAAACTGAGCTTCAATCATTTGATCCAGCTCCGACAGACAGCACATCAGAGAGAGAGAGAGAGAGAGAGAGAGAGAGAGTTATGGCACTCAAGGATTGCGGCACCCGACATACCGACACAACACCACTTTATCCTATTAAAACAATACTCACAACTTAGATTTAATTTTATGAAAAACCCTTATGATTCTTTTGATTTGAAGACCCTTATGGACTACAGGAATATAAATAACTTACAGGGCAATCAAGGAATGGACACATAATTTGAGGTATAACAGCCAGCCTAGTTTTACACATCCAGAGAACTGCTTGGCAACCAGACCAGGCTTCTAATTGAGACAGGCCTTTATTTGTCAAAATGTGTAGCCTCACCAGGCTAATAAAAGGGACTAGGCATTTATTTGGGATTAGGCTTTTCATTGAAATTTTACGCTATCTTTAATATTTGTCCTGTGACCTTGAGGAGGGCCCTGACCCCGAGGCTGGGACTACTGATCTAATTTTATATAAAGTTAAAACTAGCTCCACCTTGACCAGCTACAACAGTAAAATGTTGCTCGCACATTGATGCATCAGTATTAACAATCTATAAATGTCAAATATTATAATATCTCAGTCACAGGGGCCATTTTACTGCAGAACAAGTATTTTTACTTGTAATGGATTATTTTTACACTATGGTATTGCTACTTTTACTTAAGTAAGTACTTTTCCCACCAAAGTAAAAACTGTATTCTGACTGTTCATAACGGTTCAGTTTCAGAGTGGATGCGTTGATCTGACCTTGCTGTTGGACAGTGGGTGGTTCAAAGGAGTCCAGGCGCTCAGCTTGGTCTGCAGCTTAGCACAGCTTGTAGATGGCCTCGGTGCAAGTGGCATCTTTGAGTGATAGCTGGGTAAAGATGATGTACAAAAATACACAAAATGAAACTTCAGTAAAATGTTTGCTGCTATTTCTAACACTTTTGTGTGCATGTGTAATATACCACTTTACAGCACCTACCTGAGCACATTAAGACTCATGTTTAACCTCCTTGTAACACATTAAGTTACATAACATACCAGCTTTTATCTACTGATTAAAGTCTTATGAATAATGTCAAATGATAATCTTGGCACTGTGTAAATTCCTTACTCATGGTATCATGTTATTCTCCATTGTTACCTAATAAACAAAACATCTCCATCTTTCAATGTGTAACTTGTGAAAACAAGAGTTAGGAAAACCATATAACAGCTCCAGAGTCAAAATAATAAAAGTCCAACCTTACACACAGTGCAGTGTAATATGAGTTTACGTTTCTGCCCACAACTGTACCACACACTCTTCTGGTGTTTTACTCACCATTAGTTCTTCTCTGCTGACAGAAGGGGGAAAGAATCCTAAACACACTCTCCTTCTATGTGCATACTCCTAATGGCCTTTGTGTCCGTACACCCAACTCTTCTTCTTCTCCACAATTCCCTGTGCACAGTTTACTAGTTTCCATAGTAACAGTGAGTGTACTCTCCTTACATGGGCTGGCTGTCACAGCCTGTCACACACAGAGGGGGGTGCTGCAAGGCAAACCACAGTGGAGTGTGTGGAGTGTGCAGGCGACACTGGCTCTAATGATGACAAATAGTAGTGCGGAAGGCCTGACACTGCAACTTCTATAAAGACCATCTGCCCCTGATACACTGATGCTGCAGAACATACATCTCACAGCTGTATAGGCTGCTTTAGCCTATGTTTGGACGGCATGTTTCAGACTGCAGAGCTGGCCATTCATGTGTTCTGCCTACATGTAGATCTAGCCTACATTTGGAACACAAATTTCACAGTCTATTCAAATTTCATTAACAATTATTATCATTATTTTTTCTCAACAATAGCAGCAGTAATAGTAGTAGTAGTAGTAGTAATAGACGTGGTAGTAGTTGTAGGCCTAGCAGCCTAATAGTATTGGTATAGCAGCCTGTTATGCTTAATAAAGTGACTTGAGTAAACAATGTAGGCATTAGTTCTTTTCTCTGCTTTAATGAGCCTGTTGTATTAGTTAAGTTCACACCACTGTGGTTCTACTGATAAAACCTTTCGGGCCTATTTTGCTGGAACACTCAGTGCCACCAGTCCGAGAAGTTTTTCATTGAAGAGCAGAAAGGCTGCTCGTCCTCGGATGGGCGGTCGCGCGCAACCACGACAGAGAACCTGCTGTGAAGAAAGAGAGCTCGAGAGCTGCGTCAAGCTACACAGACACAGACTGAGCTAAACCGGAAACCACTCAGCGCACCTTTAAAGTAAGTAGGCTATATATAATCTGCAATGGCAAAAATGTTAATTTATTTTCAGGTCACATATAACGTGTGTTTACATACATAATTGTCCCTTGTATTTATATTCATCTACTATATTTCACACTTGGGATCGGTGGAAGCACTTTGGGTTAGATTAGCATACCAGTAAAAGTTCTTTATCCAAAATGTGTAGGCTATCAAAGTAAAAATACTTGGTTTGTCTTGTATTTAAAAATACTGCCTGCAAATGATTTTTGTATTGTATAATTTTATTACTGCATTGTCAGCACTGCTGCATCAGTACATATTAAATATCATTTTACTGTTGTAGCTTGTTGGAGTGAGTACTAGTAATATGTATAATTTTACTCTGTTAAACTAGTACAACTGACTAATAAATTTAGGGAAATGAAAGGAAGGCTACAATATTTACCTCTGAAATTTAGTTGAGTAGATTTATAAAGTAGCATAGATGGAAATACCCAAGCAAAGTAGTTCTACGGTGGCAGCTCAAAATTAAGTATGTTACAGTAGTAAATCTACTTAGTTACTTTCCACTACTTTTTCCCCCTCACCGGCAGATAGTTGCATTTTTAAGGTCTCTTAGCTATCGGGGATCAGTAGGACCCGTTAAGTATAAAAAACAAAACATTATCAACAATAAGAAAGTCCCAACATCCTCAAATAAGACAACAACAAAGTCAAATTTGTCTCCATATCAAACTACAAACATTATTAATCATTAATAAAAAAATTTTTGGACCATGTCCACTTCTGTGTCAGGATTGGTTGCTGACTGACTTAGCAGAGGTGGCTGCCATCTTGTTTTTACATGGATAAGTGTACTGTGGTCTTACTGCCACTAGGTGGCACAAAAAAGTGTCAGCGAACAAGGACAACAGGTCTAAGTTAAGCAAAATAAAGTATAAGGTCAAGTAAACCCAAAATGTGATGTCCTCACATGAGGACGTAGTCTTGGGGGTTATCAGTGCATTATCTCATCTTATCATATGTTAATTTGTATAATATGTATCTGTAAAATAACAAGCATAGCTGCCTAATAAATCTAAAGGAGTGAAAAGTGCAATATTCACCTATGAAATTAAGTGAATTTATAAAGTAGCATAGGAAAGCACTCAAAAATAAATAAAAATAAAATGAATAAATACAAAATAGGTAAATAAAATGCACAAGAAAAGTGGTTCAGTAGTTTCCACTTCTTTATTTATATATATTTTTACCTGTAGATAGTTTAATCTATATCAGCTGGTGTATTTTTTATCTCATCTTATCATATGTTATTATGAGAGATGTTAGTCTGTAAAACAAGTACAACTGACTTATAAAGTTAGAGAAGTAAAAAGTAAAATATTAACGACTATAACCTAGTGGAGTAGAATTGTAGAGTAGCAGAGATGGAAATCAAGAGAAGTGGTAAATAGAGGCAACTCAAAATTAAGTCACTTGCAGCACTAAATCTATTTTATTTTACACTGCTGCATTTAAATAAAAATTAAAGCACAAATAAAATAAATATATAATAAATAAACCCTCAAATATCCCCATTAACTTGCTGCAATAACTCATTGTTTTAAAAATAAAAAAGTAAAAAAGAAACTGAGTCACTACCTCACTGCATGTTTAGATGAAGCTTTTATTTTGTAGTTTTGACCGGAAGCTAATTTGAAATCTCGCGATCTTGACGCCGATTGGAGAGGGGGACGGCAGGGGGAGGCGGACAGAAAGGAGGAGGAGGACAGGAGGAGACGGGAGGAGGGTGCTGCTGGTGGAGGGACATTCAGTCATTGTTACAAACTCGAGGAGCGGCGGAGACCCTGTCGGTACACGTGAATTTTCGGCTCAACATTCAGGTAAAGTTGCTTTTAATTAAACCAGTTAAGCTAACGTTTATTACCGGAGTGTTTCTCATCAACAACCGCCGCCGTTGCCGCCCGGCTCGGTGCGGTGAATTACAACACCGGTGCGCAGGCTACATATGGCACGGTTACTATCATTTAGGATGAACTAACCGTCATCTTTTGTCTCCGCTGCGCTGCTTGACATTCAGTTTTATTAAACCATGTCTCTGTGAGGACTCAGTAACAGTGGGCAGGGACAAACAACCGTGACGAGCCTCCCGGTTACGTTAGTTAACGCTCGCGACACTCACATTTATGAGGAGCAATTAATTTATGAATCTCAGCTAGCAGCTACACAGGAGGAGCCCGTTAACAGTGACGCACAGGTAGGCTAACGGACGCACTGATACCGCCTTTAGATTAATTAACCTTTAAAATGCAGCTGTGTTTGTTTGACATGTGGTTTAATTAGACGCAGGTGTACAAGAAAGTATTTATTTTGTGCGTGACAGTGAATGGAAAGGTATTGGGTTGTTATGGGTGTGTACTGTCATGTAAATGTAGCAGTTTCCGTTATGGAAAAATGGTGCTATTAAAAAAAGGTTAAAACAATTACTGTTTCTGAACTGTAGCATTAACCTACAGATTAAAATTACACCAATACCAGAAGTAATACTGTACTTTAAATTATAATAAGTCACTTCAATAAACTAGGTTAAAAAAAGATGTTATACCCACTTTAATGTTTAAAGATGGTAATAATTTAGATATTTGTCCTGTATATGATATTTTTTGCTATTATTTTTAGTCCCTAGCAGATATATTGCTGTTAATTCATTCTGTTAATGTTATCACCCACCTACTCACCATTACCAGCCCTCTTAAACAGTCTATTATTCTTCTAATTTTTGTTAAAAAAAAAAAAAAAAAAAAAAATTCAATAAAAAGCCCACCCTGGTAAACTGCCACTGTGAACCTGATACCAAATATATTTTTAAAAATTTTGTGCTTTTATTTTTCAGGCCGGAGGCTGACATCTCCATTGGTGGTTTTCATAGATATTTCCTCCAAAGCATCATCATTGTCCGTGGAGGCAGGAGAAGGCGGTCACAGCGCAGCATCTTAAAGGACCACAGCATCTCCCAGGCTATGGAGGTCTTGTGACACACTGCTGCTGCTGCTGCTGCTGCTGCTGCTGACCGGAGTCCCCATGGTGATGGATGCAGCCAGCTTCAACCATGGCAGTGCTGGAATACGCTGCTCGTCCCAGACTGTTTCTCTGTGAGCTGAAGAGGAAGGAGAGACTACCAGACAGTCCTGGACACTCCTTAAGCCTTGTGATTTCCATTTCCTGGTGAATGAGCCAGATGTTGATGGGGCTCAACCCCTCTTCCTAGCCAGCCGTGCTCCTAGGTCTTTCTTCTCTCGTGCTGTGCGCACCGGTCATGGATCTCCTGTGGGTGCTGTCGGTGTCCATGCTGACGGCGTGCGTTGCCATCCCCATGGATGCGGCGGAGGGGAGCCACAGCCTGTTCACCTGTGAACCCATAACCCTGCGTATGTGCCAGGGGCTGCCTTACAACTCCACCTACATGCCAAACATACTGAACCATTACGACCAGCAAACTGCCGCCCTCGCCATGGAGGTACAGTACACTGCTGACATGTGAAAGATTTAACAAGCTTTGCATTGTAAAGATCCAGGTTGAGTCAAATACAAGTTTATTAAGGAAGGTACAAATTTGTTGATATTTTGTGCTGGTAAGTCTGATATTTTAGTGCTACGCAAAATAAGGCGTCAGTGTTTTCTCGCAGTTCTCTTGGAGAAACCTTTTGAGACACATTTACTGTACAGACTATTTAGACCACAGTAGGACTTACTGAAACATAGCTTTGTGATCTGCCACACCTACTCAATGGAAGGGGAATATCTGGGAAGCATTCTCCCTTTTTATATACTTATGTTTTAAAAAATTCAATAAAACATTTCAGGAAATCAAAACAGCCTTTTCATTGTATAGTGGTGGCATAGATGTAAAAAACATAGGTATAAATAGCTGCCACTAATAAAATAGCTGTCTGTTTACAGCTGCATGTTTAGGACACAAATTGGTAATTATCTGTATCGAATGGGGTTTTACCTGATCACAGTAATTTTAGAAAATTGCAGTATGTCGCATTTTGGGAGACAGGATTTCATATTTGATTCATATATGGTAAAAGGCGGAAACAATGTCTGGTCCATTGTCTTAAAAAATAATTCACAGCGTATTGTGTGTTATTCAGAAGTGTTAGCTAGTCATCGCCCGCTTCCAGAATAACTGACCTTTTGGAGAAAACAAGGTTTATATGGAAAATTGCTTATTGCAACCTATTTTCTACGTTGTGACCTTTTTCTCTTTGTTCTCTCTTTCCTTTCCCCTTTCATCCTGGCGCTGATTTTTTCTGAGCATTTTTTGAAAATGAAATTTTATTTTATTTGCACACACATAACATTGCATAAAATCCAGATAATGAAAAATGATAAATGTGGAGAGGTCGGGAAACCACAGGCCTATACAGCAGACCTCACTTTAACTTAAGGAGAAAAACAAACAATAACAAAAAGGAGAAAATATAAAAAAAGAACTAGGATAAAATAATTTGGAACAAATAAAACAAAAGATAAATAACACAAAGCACACAAAATGAGCAGACAAAAACAACCAATCAGTGGACAGTAACACAATAACGACAAAGAAGTACATAAAACATAAAAATAAATACAGAGAAAAAGAGGAAGAAAATAAATACATAAACACATCAAGAAATAATTAGACATAAATTTAATGTAATGATCATTTTCTTTTAAAAATTTCTAAAGATAACGAGTTCTTGATAACGTGTTCTCAGGCGTTTCTGAATCTGTACGCCACAATATCTGAAGGAGCACTGGCCATATTTTGTTTTGTCAAGGGGACGTGAAGATGGTCCACCTGTGTAATATAATGTGATGGAATGATTGAAGTCCCCTGGTTCTTTCTGGAGCTGCAACAATTACCGGTAACCATTCAATTGATTAGTTCATAGACAGAAAATTAAATGACCATTATTTTGATAATTGATTAGTTGTTTATGTCATTTTTCAAATGAAAGTGCCAAATATTTGCTGGTTCCAGCTTCTAATATATGAGGATTTCGGCCTTTCTCTGTCTTACATCATTTTAGAGAGAATACCTTTTGGACTGTTGGCTTGTCAAAGCAAGACGTTTGAATCTGTCACCTTGGGTTTGGAAAAATTGTGATGGTCAGGTTTTCACAGGTTTTGGATATCCCATAGGCTAAATTATGAATGAATGAAATGAATTGATCATAACTAATGAATTTATGATTAAAGTTCAAATTGCATCTGGATATTGATTTTAGTAAAGCTATTGATAGGGGACACAAAGGTTCTAGATTCAATACTTTATTGCCATATTAACATGACTGGAATTTGTCTTAGTGAGTGCCTATATAAAATGGGTTAACACCTGTATAAAGTAATTAATACATCTAATTTATGAGTGAAGTCATTTTATATTTTGGGCACACATAGTAAAAAGCTAGTGGAATTCTTGGTCCTTTCTGTAATAAGATCTTTCATATCACCAGTGTCTTAGAAAGCAGTAAAAAAAACTCATTAGGTTTTGTTCTAAAGTGTCATGCTGTTAATCCCTCAAAAAATGGATCTTCTGGAGATAACAAAGGTATTATGAAAAGTTGTATACCTTTAATTTCTTTTTAAAAAAAAGTGACATTTTCTCTTGTCCTTTTTTCCTCTCAGTATCCGTCCCACTTTGTTCCCGTCTCTTACCTTTTTGAGCATTTCCTCTGGTTCTTTCACTCTCTCATCTGTAGTGACAAGGGATGGGACGATAAATGATTTTTTCTGCAGATCGTGATAAGCACTCAGAATAAATTGATAGTGGTGAATTCCTTTAATTGGGATAATCATGACTATTGTGTCTGCTGGGCAGCCAACAATAAAATCCACCAAAAAATGCAAATGATCTTTTAATATACATTGGCATATTTCACATCGAAAGATATGATGCCATTTTAAATAAATGACAAGCCTGGGTTTTTAAGATTGTTTGATTAGAAAATTGCGTGTGTCCAATCTGTGATACAACAGAAATATTAGTTTCCTTACCAAAGGTATGGTAAACTAATGACAGTATGTTTTAGTGCCATTTTAAGAGTTTTTAGTGTGTCTTGATGATTATCAGAATAATATAGTGAATTGCAATTATTTTGGCCGGGATAATTGTGACGTGAAATTTTCATATTGGCCCATGCCTAGTTGTGACTCTGATTGTTGTAGCTAAACAGAAACAGTGGTGTAGTGGAGGGTATATGCAGGTATAAGGGGTACGCCCACCTCTTTTTCTGGCCGTTTACAGTATACCCACCTATCAGCCAAAAAGCAATTGGAATATATATGAGAATATACCCGCTTCCTCATCAGTATCTTACCCATGTGTCTAGTAGTACACCCGCCTCATCAAGTATTACTACACCTCTGGACAGAGGTAAAATTGACATGCAACCGTGCGTTTTACAGTGTGGACATCATTTCTGTTCTGTCTGCATGTACTGTATGTATTGTCAGGTCAGGACCAGGGTGTCATGATATAGTCAGTCCTCTTCACATGTTGCTAAGTGGTTCAGTGTGCCTGCTGCACTGCCTGCCCCATGGACATCAACAGCCTAGATAGCTATCACCACGGCTAACTGTGTATGTGCTGAGAGTTGGTTATATCAAAGTGCTAGCCTACTTTAATTTGGCTCCTCTAGCTCCAGGGACTGGGAGTGTATTACCAAAACATTAAGCAGAAAATTAAGTTTTAATACTTGTCCCTGGGGGCCATGACAAACAGTGCATTATTAAATCGGGTCTCTTAAAATGGGTCCTGCCCGCATGTCTGGCATGTTGACAGACAGAGCGATTTACCACAACATGTCGGGACTCTTCACATCAAAGCCATTTTACATAACAGGCTTTTGAGCAGTTAGTCAACTTAGCCAGTGAGTGAAGACACCAAACTGCTCTGTGTTTCAGTTTGGGTCAGATGATGGATTAAAGCTCAGATTCTAGTGTTTAGTCCATGTTTTATTGTTCGATTTACCAGCAGCCACAGCATCTGACTGTTGTGGCTGTGTTATCCTCTTTGAAACGACGAGTTAGGCATTTACACACAATCATGAAGCAGATGCATCACCTCGTTAACTTAATCCCATCTTTTACATAGGCTGATCCCTCCGGAAGCTCAATCTATCTAGCAATTACTGGCCAAACTGCACCAAAACATTACACTGGATGCTCTGTTGGCCGAAATATCTGCCTGTCTATCTGTGTGTGTGTATGTGTGTGTGTATCAGTCCATCCATCTTTACTTACCTCAGTTTATTAGTTCTCAGAATCATGTTCCCATTGGCTCCTGCTCCCTTTATCACTTTTACCCTTTGACACCCGCCCCGCCCTGCCTGGCACAGCGATGATGTCAATGTGTGGCGCCCTGCCGACCATCTGTGCCTGCTCCACTTTGCCGTACTCAGCATACACTCACTGAGAGAGAGATGGAGAGATGGCGGGCAGGAGGAGTTGTGTGCCACGAAAATCCCAGGTTATGTAACCTCTGAGCATGCCCTCGCCAACTGTGGGAGCACACTGCATCGCATCACATCACAGCTGTATTCACATGTGGTGAAGATGCTAACGCTTCGACCTCGCCTGCCTAGCCTCCCTGCTCATACTGACGCTTTGTCCTTTTTTGTCATTGTTGAAATATTCAGTCTTGTCTTCTGGGTTTAGTCACTCTGCCATGTTCTGTGTTTTATGAATTATGATTTTCAATGTGTATATCATATAGATGTATGTGGTTTTGGTAGAGTCTTTTTCTCATTTTGGAGATGTTACTTGTTTTGAGGCCAGGTTAGCTTTTTACGCTTATCACAGTGTGTGGGTTTGCAGTGAACAGAGAGAGGCACTTCTGGTTGAGACGGTGTTCACTTTGATTGGTCATGGATCCACAATTAAGTCTCTTTTAGTGCTCAGAAATGCTCGTTGCATTTGGAAAACACATGGAAACCCAATAGGTTCCAAATCACGGAGCCTATTCCTCTGTTTGGCTCTTGTTTTCCAGATAACTCGCCCTAGATCCAGTTCATGGGAGAATTCAAAGCCTATAAGATGTTGAGGGCAGCCAAATGGGAATTGACAGTTGATTTTAAAGGGAATTAGGTCCGTTGAATAGCCATGATAATGATGATGAATGCCTTGCACCGTGGAGAAACTGGGAGTTGGACGAGAACCAACGCCTGCCGATCTTGCAGTTTTTGTCTAAACCCCCTGAAGTGGTGTCTTTCTGAATCTCTTTTCTCTGGTCTCGCTTTTCAAGGTCTTTTCAAGGTTTTTGCTCTTTGGGGAAGTAGGCGCAATTTGTCATGATATCGTTATAAACTTTCTTGTTGCTTTATTTTGTGAGGTTGTACCCATGATATTTTTTTTTTTTCGATTACGGTCTAGAGATGTTCACTGTACCGTATTTCATGGCAGGCTGGCGATAACTGTGGTGACACATGGTTGTTCAGTGATTTGAGAAATGAGCTGCAGACTCGATTT